GCTTCTTGTCCCAGGGGGCCCAAGCAGGTGGCTGGCTGGACCCCACAAGTTCGTCCCCTCGACTCGCACACCGCTGGAGACATCTGCTCACCGATGCTGGGTCCGAAGCATCAGGTTTAAGTTCTGAAGGGAGCACGGATGTCTCCCCCGGCTGGCTCTGGGTGGGGGCCTCCAGGGACACCTCTCTCCTGGGGGCAGGGTGCGTCTGTGTGCAAGCCTTCGCCTTGGGTTGCCTGCAGGTTTGTGCTGTCACCGCATCTGTGTGCGCACACGTGTGCGAGTGGACCGTGGCATTGCAGGGTCCGTGGCACGTGGTGCTGGAAGGTTCCACGGGCCGGGGTCAGAGGTGCGGATTTTGGTTCTGTAGGATCCCTTCTCAGGGATTGCTACAAGCCAGATAACCCCTGTGAACCTCAGAGTCCTGGCTGTGCTGCCTGTGCAGCGTAGGAATAAAGTAGAGTAACGTGTGGAAATGCTTGCCCATTGCCACGTTCTATAGCTGGGAGAGATTATCATCGGCATAGCCCAGCTCATCAGAGAAGTCGTACGTGACTTAAAATAATCCGTGCAGTGAGCTGCGTGCAAATGTAGGTCAAATCATAGCCTTAGAAGTTCAGAGAGAGGCTGTCGGGAACCGCCCAATCTAAGAGGCCTTCCAGTGTGAAGTGCTTTGAAAGCTGGAAAGAATTAAACAAACGTAAAGCAACAATTAGGTTCAAGCCTAGAAAGTGAGTCCCTGACTCTGGGGTCATAGAGATTCCAGTGGCACCGGAGCCTCCTACGCCGTTTGCGGATGTGTCCGTGTGCCCCCGGCTGTGTGTCTGGCCTGGATAATTTCCTGAGCACCTACTATGTAGCAGTCACTCATCAGGGAGGGTGGGTAGGCTTTTGGGAGGTGGGGGCTCTGGAGGGCTCCGGAAGTGAGCGCATCCAAGTGACTGCTGCTTCTGCCGCAGCTCTGTCCAGCCCCTGCAGGGTCAGCTGGCGCCTCTGTCCCTGTGAGTGCCTGGTGGGTTTGCCGTCGTCGTTGGCGTGGTCGCGCCGGGCGCACCATCCTGCGGTGGCTGTAGCTGCACAGAGCTTTGTGTTGGGCAGCTCAGGGCAGAGCGCCGCCCACTGCAGAAGCTGATTTGTGGCACTGACTTCGGCCAGACAGTCCCTGGGTGAGGGGACACCTGTCTCCTGGGGGCAGGGTGCGTCTGTGTGCGGGTGAGTTGCGTTTGCTGAGTGGCCTGTCCTGTTGGAGAGGAAGGGTCAGGCCTAGGCTCAGTCTAGGTAACGGATGGGAGGAGGGGCCCAGAGGCAGCGAGGCTGGGAAAGGGAGTTCAGGTTTGCTGGGAAGCCAGCGGGGAAGGTGGCCTGGGCAGAAGAGCTGTCTGCCAAGGTGCCGGAGAGGGAAGCAGCTGTTTTTGTACCTGCTGTGCGCTGCTGGGCGCCCAGTGTGGAGAGAAGACCCAGGCAATCCAGCCAGACCCCAGGCCCTTCCTACACCCAGCCGAAGTGGGGGGGGGCTTGCCCCTCAGGCCCCGGGAGCCCCCTCTGCGAGGGCTCTGCACTTGGGAAAGAGCAGGGGGCCCCAGCGCTCTGCCAGATGCTGGCATCCGTCTGTGCCGTGAGTGACAGCTGCACGTGCAGGGCTGCGAGCTGGGGTTTGCAGGGAGCGAGGTGCTTCTGTGAAATGTCTTGGTCAGGACGCGTGGAGCGGGAGGAAGTTAGCAGTTCTCGGGCGGCTGTCACGTGTCAGCTTCGGGTATGCTGCTCACTGAATTCCCGCGACAAGGCCGTGAAGCGGACTGGGTGATCCCCCATTCACAGATGAGGGAAGCAAGGCTCAGAGAGGTGAGACAGCTTGCCGTGCGCCCCGAAGTCAAAGGCAGAGAAAGTCCCCACCCAGCTCCCGAGCCCAGCTCTCTCCCCTCCCCCGCTGGAAGGTCTGACTCATTCGGGCCCCATCCTTGACACATGAGGAAACTGACCTGGGCGCAAATGTGTTCCTGCCCAGTGTGTGACCGCTCTCAGCTGCTCCCGGGCGGGCATCAGAGCCTCCTAATTCACTGCTACTTGCAGATTTGATAAGCATATTTTACATTCCTTCGCTCAGCCCATCAGCAAAGAGACTGAATAAAACAGGCCCCGTGACAGATGCGTGAAGGAACCACTTGATACGCCTCCCTGGAGGGGCGCGGCCCGGGGCCATCTGCTCACCCTGTCCGTGTGTCAGCCCCGCGCCCGCAGCAGGGACGATGCGGGAAATCCCATGCCCCGGGGCCCGTTGGGAAGGGCTTGGGCCGGGAGTCGCCCAGACCTGGGTGCTGTTGTGGAGACTCGGTTTCCTCCAGCACCACCCAGGGGTGCCCGAGGCCGCAGTGCTGGTACAGGCTCGGCACACAGCGCCCCTGCCTGGTCCCCGGCACGCCCCCTGGCCCACCTGTCTCCCGGGCTTGGTTGCAGCATGGAAAGCAGGCGAGGCCAGCACTCATGGCGAGGGCGAGGGGTGACCGCTGTGTGCAGGCGACAGGGGTCACCTGTGGCGTCCCCAGAGAGTTTCTGTACTGTTGAGGGGAGCCTGGTGTGTCTGTCACGGCTGCTTTATGCCCATCAGGGGCTTTCACGTCGCTGATGATTTCAGAATAAAAGAAAGTCCTAGAAACTGTTCAAAGCCCAGGGTTCCTAGACAGTGCGGGTTTCTCTAGAATCTGCTCTTGCCCCGGGGATTCAGCAAGGACCAGACCAGACAAGGAGATGAATCATTTGTTCATCTGCCCATCAAAACCTGAGGAGTAGGCAAGTGGATTCCTTCGTACGCCCCTTCTGTGGACAAAGAACCTGAGACTGGCGCTGGTGCCGGTGGGCGCGCACGCTGGGCTCCTGCTTGTGCCCTGGCCGTGACCTCACACGGCCCCTGACGGTTTTGTGAATGCTGACCAAGACGGTGCCTGTTTAGCGGGGTGGATCAGACCAACAGCAGCGCTGGGGCCTCAGCCCTCCTATTCTTGAGTGGATCCCGCCAAAGCCGTCACAGGCGTCAGGCTGCGTCAGGGACCATTTCCTCCCCGTGGGGACCAAGCGAGCCCTTCTTCAATGGGGTGGCTGTGGAATCTCCCAAGGACAGCTCAGAGCCAGCAGGCCCACCTCCCCTGGGGCGTGTGCCCGTGGCCCTCCCTGGGCTGGGCCTTCCAGAACACCCACTGCTGGCTGCCTTCCTGCCCCCACTGCCTCTCTGCGGTGCTTTCCTGAAAAGGGCCCCTCCAGGGTCCAGGGTCTCTCCCCGCCCCTGCTCCCGCCCCCGCCTTCTCTTTCAGACCCTCTCTGAGCTGGGCTTCTTAAGGACTCCCCCTGTAATGCCCTGGTCCCCACTGCCGTGTCGTGCAACACAGCTGAGTGACACCACTCTCCAAGGCCAGCCTGGGGACTCCTGGCAGCCTCCTGGGGCACCGCTCACCTTCCCCGCCCCACAGTGCCCCGCGTCCTCCGCTCGCCTCTGGCCGTTCTCTCTCCTACTTGACCTGTGCTGCTGAGGCCCAAGAGGACACTTGCCCTCCACTCGCACCTCCTCGGAGGCCTCTGAGACCTGGAGCTGGGCTGGTCCATCCCGCCGGTGTGCCTGGAAAGGCCAGCCGCCACCGCCGCCCGGCGGAGGGCCAGTGATGCTGTCCCCGTGGTCAGATCCCGGCAATTGGTCGCAGTTGGTTTCCATTGGCCCGTCCCCCACCCCCGTCACCTGAAAATGCAAGTGGCAAACCACATGCTATCTTGAAGTCACAGAAAATGAAAGTTGAGTGGGACTTGGAGGGCCATCTCAGTTGACATCCTCGGCCCCTGACCCTGCGCCGACCATCAAGAGCCACCTGCTGTCCCTCTGCTGGGCCAGGGTCCCCTGTGTCTCCTTCCCCAATGCCACTGCCACCGGGGCTTAGTCATGCCGGAGCCGGGCTGAGTCAGAATGGACTTGTGGGTGGTTTGTGGCCAGGCTGGAGCAGTGAGGCAGGACTTTCTAGGTGTAGGACTGATGCTGTGCCGGGGGTGGGGTGCGGGTGGGGGTGCAGCCAGCGCCACACACTTCTGGCCCAGACTTGGGCCAAGCCGAGGGACCGAGGGAGCCGCGCCTGTGCGGTGCCGGGCGGTGCTGCCCACGGGCTCCGGGCGGCAGTGTTCACAGTGCAGGCAGGCGCCCTCCATCTCCTGCGCCGGCCTCTCGTCCGTCAGCGCGCACTCTTCAGACGTCGGCAGATGGAATGTTTCTTTTTGATGACGATGGTTCGTTGGGTAGATCACTAATGTGATTGTTTGCTTGGGAAGATTTTTTTTTCCCTTACAAATAAACTCTGAGCTCAGAAGCAAGTCCTTTACCACGGTCTGTGCTGGGATTTTGGGGGTCGGAAAATGCAGCCCGCAGGAGAGGGAGGTGGAGTCTGCAGGGCAGCAGGCTGTCCCCAAGGACCCCAAAGATGGATTTCTCTCTCTCCCTCTCTCTCTCTCTAGGGTTCATTTAATTATTTTGAGAGACAGAGTTACAGAGAAAGAGGGAGACACAGAGCGAGAGAGAGATCATCCATCCACTGGTTCACTCCCCAAATGGCCACAGTGGCCAGGGCTGGGCCATGCAGAAGCCAGAGCCAGGAGCTTCTCCCACATGGGTACAGGGGCCCAAGCACTCGGGCCATCTTCCACTGCTTTCCCAGGAGCATTAGCAGGGAGCTGGACAGGAAGTGGAGCAGCTGGGACTCAAACCGGCTCTCATACGGGATGCTGGCATTGCAGGCACCACAGCACCAGCCCCCCCAAGCTGTGTTTCCGTGGGGCTCCACAGGAGTCTCAAGGCTTGCCACGCGGAAAAGAGGTTCATCACCGTGCGGGGCAGCAGCGACGCGGCCCAGCCCGGGAAGCCTGGCTGTCCTCGGCTGGGAGGAGTCCTCGCTGGAGGGAGGTCAAGGCCGGCCCGGGGGGGATGCACCTGTGGGATCAGCCTCTGGCCTCACCAGCTGTGTCTGTGCCCACAGGAAGGAGAAGAGCAGGAGGAGCCTCGTGGCAAAGAGGAGCGGCAGGAGCCCAGCACCACCGCCCGGAAAGTGGGCAGGCCCGGGAGGAAGCGCAAGCACCCGCCGGTGAGTGTCCTTCCGCGTGCACGCGCCGTAGTCAGCGGCCAGGTGCGTGTGTCCTGTAGGGACCTGGGGGCGTGGTGAGCAAGTCCATCCAGCTGCAGTCCTCACTCACATTGCCCGTTCTTCGAGCCCCACAGCCACCCTCCACTCCCTTGTTTTCTGTAGCAACAACCAGAGGCCCCGAAAGTGCAGGCGACTGGGCTGACAGGGCTTGGAGCAGGACTTGGCCGAGGCCCCTGACTCATGGCCTCACTTTGGAGGGGCAGCCGAGAGCTGGCCAGATCTCAGGCTGGACGCGCAGGCCCCTCCCTCCAGGGCCACACGCACCCCCGGCCTACAGGAAAAGAACTGAGGCCCAGGGTCTGCTGGTGGTCCCTGTCAGAGGAGGGCCAGGGTCTAGGCCTCTGGGAGCCATGGCTGCTGGGGGGGGGGCAGCCCCAGGGGGCGGGGCTGAGCCCTGCAGGCCCCCCCCCACCATGTCTTAAGTGCAGAGGGGGAGCTGTGACTGCTGCCTGACACCACGGACAGCTGGGTCCTTTCTTTTAGCCCCGTCCAGCTGAGAATGAGGGGATCCAAGGGCTCTGGGTTTGTAACTCTGCTTTCAAGGACAAGTTCTCAACAGGGCTGGAGCCAGGGATCTGCGGGACCCCAGGGGGTGGGAGGGCGGAGAGTCCGCCCAAACCGAGGTGCACGGCGGCCGGCTCTGCTTGGCGACGCGGCAGGGAAGAGGGGCGGAAGTGAAGTAATTTAACTGGTGAGTGATTTCCAACATTCTAATATTAAAGCAAAGGGATGTTTTATGGGTTGGAATGAAACGTTCACATGACATTGATAAAATGAGGCTTCAAAGGCGTTTCCAGCTTGCAGGGTGCTCTCCAGGGGGCACGTGGCAGCCCGGGCGGGCAGCCCCCCCCCAATGCGTAGCAGGCTCCTGCTTCCTCAGACCCAGGCGCTGGGCGCAGGAGCCCCTGCCCCTGCCAGGGGAGACCCAGCGGCCCCTGAGGCATCCTTGTGTGTCTCTGGAGTCAGAGGCAAGGCCGGCCCCGAGCGGCGGGGAAAAGCATGAGTCAGAGGGCACGAGGAAGTCGGGCAGGCGGGTGGCCCTCTGTGGACGGTAAGAGAGGAGAGGGGACAGCCCGGTGGGTGGAAGAGGCTGAGGGCTATCGTATAAATCTCCCACCTGCCGCAGGCTCCCCGTGGGAAAGAAAAAGCCCTGGCTTTGGGCAGACCAGGGTTCAGATCCTGCACCACTGCCTGCATGGCCTCGTGTCCATCACTGCCCGAGCCTTGGGGGCCCTTCCGATGGACACAGGTGGTGAGGATGCGCTCCCCCTGCACCTGTGGCGGGGAGTTGGCAGGTTCGGGCACCAGTGAGCCAGCCCCAGCGAAGGCTGAGCCCTCTTTGGCAGGCCACAGAGGTGCAGTTTGACAGGGGAAGCAGCATCTGGATTGACTGCTTCCTGGCTGTGTGACCTAGAGGAAGTTACGCAGCCTTTCTGAGCTGCTTCCTCATTGGTAAAATACGGCTGTCTGTAACACCTGCCCTGTCCGCCTCCTGCGGCGCTTTGGCACAGAGCAAAGTGGAGTCCACACGTACAGGAGGCCGGGGGGCAGGCCTTCCGGGTGGGGGCCAGCGTCGGCTTCTCAGCAGCCCACAGTGTGCGGCCTGTGCGAGTCGTGGTCTGCTGTGGTGCCACCCATGGCCTGGGCGACCCCTGCAGCCCCCTGGACTCAGGGCGAGGCCCCAGCGGGGGAAGCACACAGTGAGGGCAAAGCTGCCTGGGGAGCAGGGGCCTGAGCTGACGGGAAGGGACGCCGTGCTTCTGTGGGGGCCAGGTGTAGCCAGGAGCTTTCCCACGTCATCCTGCCAGCCTAGAGGGAAGGGCGCTTGGCTCGGGTCCTGGCAGGTGTAGCCGAGGCGGCGCTGCCGGAGGCCTGGAGGCTTGCTCTGTGCACACGGCGCTCGGCCAGTCCAGACAGACAAGGGGATCGAGCTGGGTCCGCTCGTGGCCTCCTAGCCCCAGGCCGGAGCGTCTTTGGCTCCTTCTTTTGCCTGCAAGGCCATCTGTCTGCCTTCTGCGGGCACCTGTGTCCAAGGCTCTGCCCTCCCCTACACCAGCTCCACCCACCCCACCCCACCCCCGTGCCCTCCAGGCCCCGCCCGTCCTCCCTCCACAGCGGACACAGCACAGGTACCAGCACCTGCCGTGGAGGAGCCGCCCCACTCAGAAGGCTTCTTTGCAGTGCACTGTGCTAGAGAGAAGAGGCCCCCACAGCCCCAGGAAATGCAGCCCCCCAGCTCTGTTCAGGCGTCTCCCAGGACTCTGTCTGCTAAGGGACAAGTTCTGGAATATTCCGTCTGGTTCCTCCTCATCTGACCTCTCCTGCCCCTGCCCTGGCGCCCACTGCTACCCCTTTGGCCACACCCATTTCTCCCGCTGCCTCCCCTCTCTCCACCTGGCCCAGTGCCACGGCCCATCAAAGCCTCGCTTGAAGATGAAGCCCAGGTCAGCTGTCATGACCCCCTCCCCCGAGAGTTCCCCCTTCCCGACCCATTTGTGAGGTTCATGCTGGTGAATTACCGAGAACTCGGAAGACAAGCTCCAAGCCCAGCGAGCCCGTGCTCTGCAGATCTCTCTCGCAGAAGCACTCAGTTACCTGTCCCTGTGGAATCCCAGAATCAGTGCTCAGGAGCTTTGAAATTGTTTGGTTTATCGATTGATTTATGTTTATTTGAAAAGCAGAGGGAGAGAGAGATCAGTCTTCATCCATTGGTTCTCTCCCCAAATGCCTGCAACAGCCAGGGCTGCCCCAGGCTGAAACTAGGAGCCAGGCACTCAGTCCAGGTCTCCCACACTGGCGGCTGGGACCCAGGTACTTGGGCCATCATCATGCTGCCTCCCAGGGCACACATGAGCAGGAAGCGGGGACTGGAAGTGGAGCCGTGGCTTGGAGCCAGGCCCTCCGATGTGGGATGTCGGCGTCGCAAACGGGCATCTTAACCGCTGCACCGAACACCCGCCCCTGGCGTTTTCCTTTAACAGTGGCATTGTATGTTTTGCAAAAGCATCCTTGCTCGGTGCATAGAGAACTTTTAAAAGTGCGAAACCAAAACCCCTGGTCTGTGATCCCTGAGAGTTTGAAAAGCAGGTGGGGAGAGCTTGTGTCTCCCCACCGAGCCAGGCCATGCTGCGCTCCTGCTCCTGTTCAACATTAGGCAAGCTGTCTGAAGACCGTGTCCCTCGCCTCACGGTGACCCCCGTGGAAGGCAGGTGGGGGCCACTGTCATTACCATCCCGTGTTTACATGAAGAGACCAAGGTTCAGGACGATTCGGGACTTGGGCCCTTGCCTCCTCAGCAAGCATCTCGAGGCGGCAAACGCACGCAGGAGTGCGTGGAAAAGTGTCCAGGACCGGCCTGCACACGCGGGAGCTGTAACTGCGGGGAGCAACTGACCCACACGCCAGGGAGCCGGCGAGGCAGGGGGAAGGCAGCCAGGGTCTGAGGACAGAGGGCTGGGCCTGCTGTGTCGGCAGCTCGGCCCTGAGAGCCAGGATGCTGCCGTGTGAGCCGGCACAGGAAACAGGAAGCCAGCTGCAGGGCTGGGCGGGGCTTCGGAAGGGAGCTGGCACCTGGGCCAGGGCCTGCGGGCTGCCCAGTGCCCATGACGGGGAGGAGGGGGCTGGCATGTAGGCCCGAGCCCGGGGGTGGGTGGGGGTGTGTGGATCCAGGCAGCTCCCTGGTCACCAGTTCCTGGGTGCATAGAGGGCAACAAGGGAGGGTGTGTGGGGCTGGCTGCTGCCTGGTCACAAGGCCATACGGCCCTGTGAGGGCCCTTGTGCTCCATGGGTGGTTCCAGCGTGGGGCGCTGGAAGGAAGGCTTCTGCCCTTGCCCACCAGACCCTGGGGCTGCCCTGCCCGTGGGGCCCCGGCCCCTGTTTACTAGCTGTATGAATTTGTTCATTGAAGATTTATACCCACCAACTTCCTCCAGGGTTATTTTTTGTTCAAAAGGAGCACTCTGAGGTCACCTCTTGCTAAGAATAACTCAGGAGGGGAGGGAGGAGGCGGGGAGGGGTGCTGGGGGCTGGTGCTGAGCTGAAGCCCGCGCTGCTCCCTCTGCGTCCGCCCCTACAACCCTGAGTGACGGGGTCCAGGAAGGCAGGATGGCCCCGCTTTGGAGCAGAAGATGGGCGGGTCGGGGTGGGGTGGGGGGAGCTGCGGAACGGCAGGGCGCCGCTCCCCTGAGGCTCCAGCCAGCAGGGCCGTGGCCCTGGCCGTGTGGGTTCTGCTCCACAGCGGCTAGCAGAGAGGACCTTTTGACTTTGCGCCAAGAGAGAGCTCAGATCCCTTCCTGTTTCCAGCCCAGACCTGTTCCTGCACCAACCCGTCCAACCGCAACTCCATGGCCTGCTGCCCCTCGGTTTCAAGCCAGAGCTTGGTGTGACAGGATTCGGGGGCCCTTGGCGGTCGCTCTCCTTGCAGGGAGCCAAGCAGGGTGCGCTGCCGCCGGCTCCTCTGCCTTCCCAGGCTCGTGCTGTAATGCAGGAGGTTCGAACTTCCTGACTGCTCCCACAGACCCGCCTGCTGGCTCCCTGACCCACGCCATCGCATCAGCGGTGCACCAGGGCCTGCTGCAGCGGTGTGGGCACCAGGAGCATAACTGGGAAAGCCAGGAAGACAAGCCCGAGGAGCCCCAGCTCGAGGGGGCCTTCAGAAGGGGGTGGGGGTCGGGGAAGTCAAAGAAGCAGAGCATCACCCGGCGACCAGGGCCTCTCCGAGCAAGGCGTGGGGGAGGCGGCGCACGCGGGCGCTGTGGCCTGTGAGCAGCCCTGCCTGCCGAGTGGATAGGGCTCCCTTTGCACATGTACTCCATGTGGGTCGGAAGTGTGGGTGGAGGGGGTCTCTACTCTTCGTCATCTCTGAAAAACACGTTTACCTGGAAGTTTTCTTTTTTAGAGGTGCATTTATTTGAAAGGCAGAGAGACAGAAGGGGAGGGAG